AGACGCAACCTAGCATTTATTATTATTATTATTATTTTATTTTTTTGCATTAGTTCACGGTAATATCTCTTACAAAAGTGTTGATTAAAGTAAGCTAATTTAAGACTTAAAATAGAGCATTTGTGTACAAAATACTCTTTGGTATAGCATCCATAAACATGTTGTAAATCGAAATAAAACGATGATATTCTATATTGTCCACCTAAACATAGCTTAATAAAAAGATATATCTTCAACTTAYACTCAAACATTGTTGAATTAGGAAAAAAAAAAAGAAATAGTTAATTCACTTATATCACGTGTAATAACACTTTCAAGTATGAAAATTGATGAGATAAAATATCGCATTTTTTTAATATAACAATATGGAGTTGATTTGAATCGTCGACTTTAATAAACGAGGAGATGTTTTAATTATTGAGTTAGAATTTTAATTTTAATGATAATAAAAAAAATATTGCAGTTGTTGTCCCTAATTAGGTCATATTCTACAACTCCCTCTCAATTTATATGGAAATATGAGATGGATTGCATATCATATATTTTCAAAATGGAAATATGAGATGGATACCCATTTCAACAATCTCTCATCTCTTTTCCTTTGGAAAACTATTCAGAGTTAATTATTATTTATATTCTCAATTACCATCTTCATTTCAAACTCCTAAGGTTTTTCATTTTCATATATTTTCTTTTTCTTCTATATATTTTCCACACCCTCTCCCACTAGTTATATTATTTTTTTCATTCATCATCATAAGCTTCATAAATCTTATTGGTACTAAAAAAAAAAAGAGAATATATATATAATTAATATGAACATAGCCCAGTAGTAAGTTGGTACAAATTCTTTTCTTTTCTGGTCGTCCTAGGTTCAAACTCACACACTCCCATTTTATTGGAGAGATATATATAAATTACAAATTTATCTTAATTACTCCAACGTCAACCCTAGCGTTATCTCAACATGATCTTCTTCACATATAATTCCAAAAATTAGCCGGAAGCAATTTAAATTGGTTTTGCCATCTCCATTTTCTCCCTCATTGTGGACACTTATCATGTCATTTCATCATCATATTATAAATCTTACCACTAAATCCAAAATCTGAACTTAAACAATATTTTAAGTATATTTTCAACATAAAGTATACCTGAATCCCGTGTGAATTAGCAAGGACCACCAGTGGAGAGTGGTAATTGTATTCATATTTTTTAATTTGAGAGAGATTTCAAGACATGACATCATGATATATAAGAAATCTAGGAAAGAGGACACGATATCATAACGTGGCATCGGACATGGATCAACTTGTTGATTGGAGAAAATCTAAAGAATTAAAGTTGGTCTCTTTCCATAGATMCTCTTCAGCCACATAATTATTACTTTCTAAGGTTTCTATTCTTCCCGTTAAGTGAGTGTTGCGTTGCAAGGACTACAAACACAGCGTTACATTGATTAGGAAAATTTCATGATATATAAATAAAAAAAGAAAAACGGTAATACTTATGTCCAAACCACTTGAAACCATTTGAGTGAATTTAACCAGAAACCCATAAAGAGAGAGAAGCCATTCAATGGATTTGGAAAAAAATCCACCAAGAAATTTAAGTTGCTCCGGAAGATGAGTATTGAAATTTGAGTAGTGTACTTGACAACAATAACCTTTAAAACCCATAGCTTTTACCTTTATGTCTTTTTCTTTGACTTTTCTATTATTATCAATATTATTATTCTAATTAAGTCCATGCATATCTTTGGTACACGCACAATTAATTACATGCCATTAAAACAAGATGAAATCTCACCTAATTAAATTGTATTAACAAAATGCCACCTAATATTTTTATGCTCTCACTAAACTAATTAGGATTAACTATTTATTACAACTATCTTTGTGACAAAAAAAGTGTAGTACAACAAATATGTAGCGCAAGAATTTGAATCTCCAAAATTGCATCGGGAAGAAAAGACACTATTGAGGTCAACTCCAAACTATGAGACAAAGGTAAGATGTCATCCCACTATCTGCAATTTATAAATTCTTAATGTCAACTTGATCATAGTTCGACCTCAAATTCTCCTCCTTACGTGTTGTTAAATTATTTAAAAAAAAAAATCTAACTCTAAATTCCAATGAATATGACACTTATTCGTTTGTGGTTAGATTCTTTATTCCAAATTCTTGAACTTAAAGGAAAAAAAATTTTAATATTAGGAAATGTCAAGATTGCCTAGAATGATCAACGTTGAAATGGATGATTTTAAATTAGTAAACAATTAACTTTTTCCATTTTATATATACTAAAAGTATTTTAGAAAAGAAGTGTGTGTGTGTGTT